CTTTTCTCCTCTGTTGCACTGCTACAATAAAAATCTCTTGGTCGCTCCGAGTGTTGTGGACACTTTCCTTTCAATAGCCAGTGTCAAAGTCCTTGGATAAATCCTGTGAGAAAACCTGAATGTCATAGGACTTGGCCAACACAAGGTGGGAAGGACCTTTGGCCAACTCTTCCAAGAGGTTCAGATCTACTTTCTATAGGCTCACTACCCAAGCATCTCCTTACTACCCCTGACCTGCCCCACTGGAGTCCTAGGCTGATTCCTGGTTGGTGAAGAAGACCTGGCCTGGGCTCTCCAACACCAGCCACTTCCACCCTGGTCTCAGTCTCCTCCACACTCCTGGCCCCCGAACCAGCACCTGCAGCAGCCTCCTCTGAGCCACTCATCCACAGCACATGTCCAAGCAGCTCAACCAGGTCAACCACAACCCCCCCCCCAGGGCACACGTGGCCTGAGAAACTGGAGGAAAGCGGGAGGTTCAAGGGAGAGTGAAGAGCCAGGCACCCATCAGGGCTCTTGGTCAGTAGCACGCAGCCTTTCCTGGATTCATTGCCCACAGCAGTTGAAAGGAGTAGCTCTGAACACCATGCGACTGTGCTCCTTACCCACCCCACACATAACTGAATGGAACAGGATGGACATCTTCCCCACCCCAAGGACCCTAGGGCAGTGTCCACTTCTTGGATTTTGGGACCACCTAGACAGGGAGTGGTTGTTTGAGTCAGCTTTTCTGTTGCTGTGACCAAAAGACCTGACAAGAATGATGTAGAGAAAGAAAAATTTATTTTGGTTCATGGTTTCAGAGGTCTCAGTCCATAGGTGGCCACTGTCATAGCTCTGGACCTGAAGTGGGGCAACATCACAGGAAAGCAGCTCAGAACGTGGCAACAGGAAGGTGGGGGAAGAGAGAGATCCACTCACTAGGGACAAAATATAAACCCAAATGCAGGCCCCCAGTGACCTACCTCCTCCAGCCATTCCCCTCCTGCCTACAGCTATCCCCCAGTTAACCCATTCGAGTGGATTAACACACTGATTAGGTTAAAACTCTCACAACACAATCTTTTTACCTCTAAATTTTCTTGTGTTGTCTTATCTAAACAATAACAGTAGCCAATCACCCAATGAAGCTGTCCTGTTGAAGAAGCTGAGCTAAATCGAAGAACTGGTGGGAGAACATTAGGGTTAACATGGGCCTACAATCTCTTGTTACTGTAGGCTCCACGGCCATCCCTCTCCTCCCTTTCCTGAGATCTGATAGTCACCTCTTTCTAGGCATGTCAGCTTTCCATCACTATAATAAGATATCTGAGGCAATTAAAGAAAAATGGGTTATTTTGACTCCTGCTTCTGGAGAAGCATCAACATCAGATGGCCCCATTGCTTTGGGGCCCTGGCAGGGATGGCTCATCGTGGCAGGAGCATGTGGAAAAGCAAAACCATGTACATCATGAACCAGGAAGTGAAGAGAGGACGAGGAAGACTGGGATCCCACAATCCCCATCAAGCACCCACCCTCAACGACCTCAGGAGCTCCCTATAAGAGGTTCCCCCACCTCCCAGAGCACCACCCCAAGGACCAAGCCTTTAAGGTCTTCAGAGGACATTTAACCTCCAAACCACAGCACTGGGATTCCTTGAGTGTCCCCCGCTGCCCTCTCTCTCTCAATAATCTATAAAGTTTGGGTCAATGTGAGTGGATTCTGGCCCCTGGTCCCCAAAGCCTCTTTAGCTAAGATGGGGTTCTGCAGGAACGAGAGCCTGGAGTAGGGATCCAAGGTCACGCGTTCCTAAGTTCAGGTCTTTGGAACTTGCAGAGTGAAATAAATTAATGTTTAAAACCAGGTGGTTCTCTCCAGTTCCTAAGCATGGAATCCATTCCATTCTGTTCAACAGGTGTTCATGGAGCGCCTACTCTGTGCCTGGCACTGTGCTTTGTGCCAGGAAGGCAAAGACGGGCAGCAGGGGCTGTTGTGGGCTCACAGTATCCAGGGAGTTACAGTCACAGAGAAGTCACTGCATGGTATCATAAAAGCAGTGATGGAAGCATGTATGAAGTCAGTGGTAACCAGGGTGGCCAAGGGAGAGTCACGGTAAAGCCAAGGGAAGCCTAGGGACCATGAAGTGGAGTCACCCAGTAGCACCATGTCCTGGAGGGTGTTAGCAGTAGTGCTGAAATGGGGGGTGGGGATCCCAGACTTTAGGACAGATGGGCTTGCTGAGAAATGGTGGTGGGGTCCCCTGGAAGAGGTGATTAGAAGTGAAAAATGAGCCCACTTCTATTTTTTTTTTTCTGGGCAGACTGGGAAATGGCCTCTAAAGACAATGGACAACGATAATAGCATCATAGAAAAGTCTAAAGCTAAACCATTTGACCCAGCTATCTCTCTCTTCTGACTATACCCAAAGGACTTAAAAACAGCATACTGCAGGGACACAGCCACATCAGTGTTTACAGCAGCACAATTCACAATAGCTAAAATGTGGAACAAACCTAGATACCCTTCAATAGATGAATGGATAAATAAAATGTGGTATATATACCCAATGGAATATTACTCAGCAATAAAAGAGATTAAAGTCATGGCATTTGCAGGTAAATGGATGGAGTTAGAGAAGATAATGCTAAGTGAAGTAAGCCAATACCAAAAAACCAAATGCCAAATGTTTTCTCTGATATAAGGAGGCTGATTCATAGTGGGGTAGGGAGCAGGAGCATGGGAGGAATAGACAAACTCTAGATAGGGCAGAGGGGTTGGAGGGGAAGGGAGGGGGCATGGAGTTTAAAATGATGGTGGAATGTGATGGACATTATTATCCAAAATACAGGTATGAAGACACAAATTGGTATTAATATACTGTGTATACAACCAGAGATATGAAAAATTGTGCTCTATATGTATAATATGAATTGTACTGCATTCTGTTATCATATATAATTTAAAAAAAAAAACAAAGATCCTATGGGGGAAAAAAATCTAAGGCTGAGAAGTTTAGGTGCCTTGGTGGCAATGGGCTATGGTTAGAGTGAAAGGTAGTCTTTTCTCAATCGAGCCACGTTCCAGAACGAACCATAGGACTCAGAAGATGATAGAGAGTGTTTATTTAATAGATATTTCTTGAAGGCAGACTATATCATAGGTACATGGTTCATGCCTCACAGACAAGTGAATATGGACATTAATCACATAATTACAAAAATAAATGTAAAAATAAACAGTGCATGAAGGAAAAAGTATGGTGAGCTCTAAGTGCAAATGAGACTTGAGAAGACTCCACAGAGCAGGGGCCCCTGAGCCAAGATTCAAATGACCAGTAGGAGAGAACTGGTGAAAAGAAGAGGAAAGGGTAGACTGTAATTTAATTGTGTTATGGATTTGGGATTCAGATAGATATACAGACAAAGAAAAAGGAGGAGAGGCACAGAAAACAAGAGTCACAAGCTCCAAGGGGGTCAGGAGGAAGATTTTGAGAAGACAGTGACCACTCCTGTGACTCTCTTCACTTCTTCTCTCCATTTCTGAAACTCACTGAAATTCATCTTCATACCAATAAACAAGTTCCCTCCCTTTATCCATTCATTCTTCCCTTCACCCATCCATCCACCACCCCACAGATGCCCAGGCCGTGGTAATCCAGGTCCTATGCCAGCACCCAGTGACCCAAAGAGTCTATAACTTAATAGAAATTCCACTGCTGGCATTTTCTTTCAATTGTTTTGACTCTCTGCTTGGAGATAAGGAAAAGAGGACAAAAAAGTAACTGTGCTAATCAAAATGCAGGAATAATAAAACTCTAAAAAGAAATCAGGGCCTCTCAGTACGCTGATCTCTCTGTCCACGATTGCTGAGGAAAGGTGTGGTGGGAGAGGCCAAGATGTCCAAGTGCCACTGAGCCTTTTATAGGCAACCCTTACATAAAATAGGCTCTATTTGATACAAATGAATCTAAGATACAAATCTCTAAGAACGAGCCACACACTGATTTATATCATTTATGAAATAGTCCATTTCTTTACAATAAGGCTGTTTTCATAGAAAACGGTAGAGGACTTTGAGACAGTTGCTCCCACTCTCATGCTGAGCATCTGGCCCCAGGGATTGCCCTCCTTTCATTCTAGACTTAGTCTTCAGGGATTTCTTGACGTGGCTGCTGCTGTCATTCCAGATTCGGAGGTCACACCTACCTCCAGGGAAGTCTGAGAATTCCTCAAACTGGAGGCTGCAGATGCTCTGAGAACAAACTGGTTTATGCTTTGAATCCCCATGTTAGCAAAACAAGTTATAGCATCATTGTTTTTGTTTTGTTTTGTTTTTCTGCCCTGTGCATTTAAAAAATTTCCTTCAATAAACAGGGATTACATTGATAGTAAGGGAAACATAAACATTTCTTAAAGACTGTTTAAGCTAATGGTTATGCACTGAACATCTGTAATCCCAGCTGCTTCAGAGGCTGAAGCAGGAAGATCACAAGTTAGAGGCCAGCCTTGGCAACTTAATGAGACCCCGACTTAAAATAAAAACTAAAAAGGGCTGGGGATACAGCCCAGTGGTAGAGCATCCCTGGGCTCAATCCCCAGGAAAGAAAGAAAGAAGGAAGGAAGGAAGGAAGGAAGGAAGGAAGGAAGGAAGG